TAAACAAATCAAGTTTGTTGATTTGTTATCGTATTGAATATAAAGAGCAGGGTGTGAGAATATGGTTGCATAACCAAATTATAATTTGATCTTGTTTGTTCCTGTATAAATCTACAGCTGTCCTTTTAGTTATTAATTACAGCGGTTCTAGCATTATCTTTATAGAAGCCAGCCTGATAAGGTCATCACCTTAGAAAACAATCTAAGTTGGCTTATGCATACTCTTTGTACTCTATAGTCGTCCATCAAATCAAAATATTCCCACTTTGACTAAGTTAAACTGTACATTGTACGTTCTGTACTTGAAGGTATTAGGGCCTTCTGGTAATGGGACTGTATAATTATAATTTGAATGCTTATAATCTGACTTTTCGCATTGAATCGCTAAGATGTTATTTGGATCATTTGAACAATATCGAAACAATTCTAGTTTTTTATGATAACAAATTTCAAGTTTGTTACTTCTTAAGAATATATTGTAATGATGTTTTCTTCCGTAAATGAACGGCTATATTTAGCTTAGCAAAAACAAGATGCCAATTTTTCTATATTTACTGGGATTCACGTGCAGATTAAGATTATGAGAACAAATTTGTTGCCCTTTTCTTTAAAATTATTATGACCATACAGTAATTCTATTCTACTAAGGAATTAAAGCATTTATCAATTATGCATACTATAATAAAGGTCAAATAGTAAATAAATATTTTAAGAATGGTTCCAATTGGAATCGAACAGACATCATAGAGCCAATTTTACGTACGAATAATAGTGTTCCACAAACTACATTTTATTTGCAATCATAATCGTCATTATATTTCTTTCATGGTTATTTACATTATAATGATATTCATGTACTTGAATTATATATTACGATAGAGAATTTTTAGCTATTTGCAGCTATCCTTAATATATTCTAGGGCTGGGGAATACTAAATTTAAACTTCTTGACAGAAAAATATTTCTAATTATCGTTAGGACGCTCGTCCTCGATTACGGTAGATCAGGTCGTATATATTAATCTAACTATATACTAAATGCAACTCCGAAATGACAATATAATAAACAATCTTCTCGACAGAGAAACGCTTGAATCAGGATAGTTCTATCAAATTTAAAGCATTTCATAAGGTATATCGTCATAAAAGTTGACTATCATTGCCAAGAGTGCTTAAAAAGTGACTAATTTCTTATAGTGTCGTTAACTATTGTTATAATGTTATATAAGTACTATTTATCGATGGTTGTACGGTTAATGAATAATTATTCTGTTCTTTTTATTTATAATATATAATAAATTATCTGATAAATAGTTCTTCTATTCCATTAGAAAACAATCATCTACTCAATAGTATTTAATGAAGAAGCCAATCTGAAATTAGATATGCTGCCATTTTATTTCAAATTTAATATCCCTTAGCTATACCAGTAGCCACGAAGATTAATGTGGAAACACTATCATTGAAGTTTAGATTGCTTTACCTACTGGTATTCAGTATATTTTGACCAATTCTTAATAAATAACAAATTAATAAGACAATATAGATAACTTTGTCCACCTGGTTGACAGATTCGATGTATTCTAGTATTCAAGTACATAATACTATGTGTAGCATCGTGGATTACGTTACATGTCACAGTATAATGATAATATAATAAATTATTTATTTAATATACCTTATTAGAGATCATCTTATTTCACGATCTAGCCACTTGACTCTGCGGAAATCGCTAAAGCAATAGATTATGATACTTAAATACGTTTAGTTTCAAAGACATTCAATTATGGTTGATGCAAGCTATAGCTAGTATCGCTATTTCTTTAATAATGAGATAATGCATTCAGTAGCATTATCTACATGCTCATAAATTCGTTATAACAATGTTAGACCATGAAGTGAACGATGTGATCGAATTGCAAATCCGGCAAATAAAAGTAGTAACAAATTCTGAATAAATTCAGGGAAATTTTATTATTTAAGGTATTGTTTGGGACATTGTTGTTTTATTTCTGATTGGCCAATTAAATTATATTGACAAGTAAATCAGCTACAGTCATGAATTTACTAAAATAATGCAATATATAGGGCAAAAATTTGATGACAAGGAGATGATTATCCTCATTCAGTAAATGCCTATTTTATAATGGATATTATTCAATAAGTCATACTAAATCAGAAAAATTTCTACTTACCGATTCTACCTTCTAATTTATTAAAAGTTTTTTATTGAATGCCGATACTAGTGCTGGTACCTTCTAATTTGTCAAATTTTTGTTATGGATGCGAATACGAGTGTTGGTGAAGAGTAATAAGTAATATCCTGAGTTTGATTTACCATAAACGCGATAACTATCCTTCTCTAAGATTAATCGCTGTTACTGGAACTAAAACTGAATTTCTATTAACGTGCGAGAGTGTAAATAATAATATTAGAAAAGATATGATACGGCGCCATTGTATGGATTTACTAGAAATACATAGTTGCATCCTCTATACAGAATTGACTAATAATATAATATGTTATTGATAAAGGCGGACCATAATTGTAATTTTTTTCTGTTTAGTAATGAATCGGACAATAGAAATTGCTAAGCAGTCATTTAAATTTTATTTCGCGCTAATTGCCATCATTTATTTACTGAAGTCAGCTTCGTTGCAGTACTGAGCTTAGATTTAATTTCATCGATCATATTATCCGACCGTCAGGATATATTGTGGTTGTAATCGTAACAAATAGCTTATGACCGTACTCGTACTATGCGTTCTAGGTTTGACATCTGATGTGGTCTTTCCTATTTTTAGCATCTTATATTATCGGTAAATTTATTTCTTATAGAATGAATCTATAAACTAACTATATAAGAGGATTATATTTCTGTGACGATATCATTTTTAATATGGTCTGTTTACGGCTCACTATGTGCCTCTTACTGTCATAAATAATTCTTCCCATTTTGGAGAGTGGTTATATTCGGTGATGAACTCGAGTATCAATTTAATTGCCCTATCAGTAGTTGCAATATCTGCTCTAGATGTATATTGTCCATTTTCTAATTACCATCAAATTGATATTTGTACAAATGATTCCTGTCGTCATTTTTAATTTCTAATTGGAGTATTGAACAGGATGTTATCTTTGATTAAAGTATTCTTCTATTACCGCAACGACTAGATGGGTAGTCCACAACACTGACGTTTCGCATATAAGAATAAGAAAGATGTATAATTATTATTATCTTGCAAATTGAACTGGAATAAAAAAGTACTGCACCATTTTTGATAAATATGCTAAAAGGAAGGATATTGAAGAAAACTTGAATCGGGTAAGAGAGAATAATACGGTGATTATTTATTAAACTATCTTATGGGCGGTTTAAATCATGTTATTCTATGATCAAGTATTATACCCTGGTTGGTATGTTTGCTTTAATCCTAAAAGCAAATAAACAAGGTCGTTATTCTCGTGATGCATTACAGTTTTTTCAGCCGACTCTACATAAAACGTGACTAGGATCATTTATTGGAGATAATATATTCGGAAAGGTATTTGACTTGAGGGCAAACGATTTAGGCACTGAAATAGAGAAAAAATAATTGAAAACAAAAGTTGTAACTATGAAACTAATAATATTAAAGTGCAAGCGATATTATGTTGCTACGTACTGAATATCCGTCATATTACTTATTGCCTTTAGAATAACTGATTAATTTGCTTTATATTCAAGACATATTTTATATGAATAAATGACAGATAATAAGGTAACTAACAGTAGATTACATTCAATTATTGTTCAATTGTCAGTACCGCCGGATAGATAGCGTCTACGTCATCATCAACGTGATGTAGTTATCAATTAAAGTGAGGTATTTTTTTTATTCCATTGATGATATGGAACTAAACTAGAAAGAATGACATTGATTAGTAACTATCATCACGAGTAATTTCAATTAATATTTTCTTACTTCTGGTAAATGATCAATTTTTATTATATTTTTAAAACAATTTATTTTTCTTCTGTTGAATTAATATTTAAAACTTGAAGTTTTATTAAGATTAAGCGACTTGATAAAATTATTTTTTTGTCATGATATATTGTGTATTGTATTGATGATTAAATGAACCTAGCGATAGGGGTTATGTTGTAGTTAAATATATTAATAAATTAATTAATTGCAAGAAAATTGAGTGTGCACGTATTATTTTTGTTGTTCCGACCTGGTGACTAATCGTATTTTTTAAATCATGTATAGAATTTTCATGAAGGCTGGTTTAAGATAAATTACCTATCTTATTGGATCAGTAATTAATTAAGCATTTGATAGTCCATCTAGTGGTCTTATGGCTAGCTATCTAATTTAAATGGTAAGAAAAATAAGAGCTGCGATTGAATTGACATTGTCCATTTTTCTATTTTAATAGTAAGTATAGGATATTGATTTTATTGGCTGTAGTCGAGACTTAATAATATTATATTGTCTGCTTATGTTGATGTCAATGAATAGTTACAGTATCCTATTTCTATCTTGGTGAAGGGTATTCGCTAGCCCATTTGCATATTTCGATATTTTGGTACACTGAATATTCATTCAATTCAATTCAATAACAATTATTGAATGCTTTGTTCATACCTGCAGGGCTGCAAAGCTGACAGTATTTAAAGACCTGTCTGCTAAATCGTATTTACATTATTGGATTGAAGAACGGTTTGGAGTATATACATGGGAGACATAGAGTATTTCTATCTCTAGCACTTTGACTGTTAATAACTTGTTGTTGATTACTAATAGGAGTCAGGCTTCGACGACTTTATTTTATTTTTTTTTTATCTTAATCGTTTGCTAAGTCTAAAATTGTGTTGTAATTGTTACTACCAGTCCTCGCTGCGGGGCTTATTTCCTACTTGCATGCTTTTTTATTTTTACTTTGGCAGTAAAAATCTTCATTTATTTGATTAGTTAGGATACATTTTTGATAAAGTTGTTAGATTGTGAAGTACAATGACGGAATTAACTACAGCACCAATGTCTCTATTTCGTACCACTGAATTTGTAGCTACAGTCAGTAGCGATGATAGTCTTCATTTCATTTTGAACACCAGCTATAACAACGCTACTGCCAATACAACTTCGTCTACTGTCATGTGGAATAATCCTCCATTTGTCTATTCGTTAGGATTAATTATTTTATTAGCGTGTTGTAGTGTTATTTGCTTACTTGGATGTTTTGGCAATGTTTTAGTGATTACCGTTTTTTGTCGTTGGCCACGAATGCGTACCGTGACTAATTATTATATTTTCAATTTAGCTCTAGTTGATCTCATAATTGTTTCATTTAGTATACCTAATAGTGCTATTACAGAAGTGATGCATTCGAATGATCGCTATAGCATGGGTGAAGGCATGTGTAAATTTGCCAGCACATTGCGCTATATTGTACTGAATGTCTCAACGTTGACTTTAGTTGCCATTAGTTTAGATCGTTATGTTGCAGTTGTCTATCCACTTAAAAGTCATCCATCCAAAAAGAAAACTGTGATCATATTATTATCCATTTGGCTCATATCCATTGCTGCTAATTCACCCTTATATTTTTTCTTGAAAATTTTTACCTTTGGCAATAATTCACCTTGGGCTTATTGCATTATTATGTGGTCTCCACGACTTAGTGAGGAAATTTATGTTGGTATTACCTTCGCATTATTATTTGCTTTACCTATGGCTATTATGCACTATACTAATTGTAGTATTGCTTACACAACTTGGCGTAGTGGCACGATGACTGATTATTCAGCAACTTTACCACAACCTTCACAGCCATATCAACAGCATCATAAGAAACGACGACAAAGTTCACGCTCACGACCATCAAAACGTCGAAAAATTTCGGTCTCAACGGATAATCATGGTAAAAGGCATGTCGTCACTTTAGTCATCTGCATCGTTTTAACCTTTACTATTTGCATGATGCCTTTACAAGTGGTTAAAGTGCTAATCTATTATCGTATCGTTTTAGAGACAGCTAGTAATCGGCAAAGTTTACGCTTTATGATTCTCTTTTTACGATTGTTGTCTTACTCCAATTCGATGATTAATCCTCTACTTTATGTGATATTTAGTACTAAATTTCGTGATGGTTGTAAAGCACTACGTTACGGCTATCGCTTCTCTTCTTCGCGTAGTACAAGTAATGTACGCTTTACACAACAGCAGACATTATCTAAACGATGCTCATCTCATAGCCATGAATTAAAACGTCAAAAATCTTCTATGACATTAAATGATAAAGAGAATCCAACAGGAAAATCAAATCAGCTTGCCCAACATCGTCCGCATGTTAATCAAAGTCAATCACTCTATGCTCGAGAAATGGAAATGCAAAAGATTGAATTACATAATAAAAGCCAAAGCTTTTGCTTACGTATTAATCCGCAAAGGCCACCATCAAGTATAAGAAAGGCAGGAATAAGTAGTAATACAAACGTTAATCATCATCATAATATGAATGATGGTAGCATTGAAATGTTTTCAACTCAGCTCTGTTCAGAAATAGGATTTAAATCGAAGCAAGAGCAATTCTAAAATATCAATTAGTAAGGTAGTAAATAGAAAGACTTACATTTCCAAAAGTTATAAAACAGATACGTTACAAACAATAGCGTCTATCGACTATTGAATATTTGATTCCAAGATTTCCGATCTATACAGGACTGTCAACTAGACTAGTCATCAAATATTACTTCTCAGAATATGGCTATTGGCCGATTGGATTCTTCGATCCGATACTAGATTGGGATAAACACCTGATTGTGCCTTATGTGTAATTTAATATCTGGTTTCGTATTTTTTATGCGCTTTACTAGGTAGTTAACTGCATGATACAAGATGCGGAGTCTCTTTGCCTGATAGGCATATATCAACTTTTTATACTGATTCACTACACTCTTAATAACACGTAATAGCATCACTATCCTTTATATATGCTACCCTCTCTTAGTTAATCCGTTTTGATAATAATGCTTGAAACTAATGAACCAAGAAAAAAATTGGACATCCTGGTCAAGACTAAATACGGCTTCAACGATTTAATCTTGCCGCCCACCTAGAATTGTAAACTTTATCGAAGACAAATGAATCAAAATGATTTCTACTTCATCGTATAAGGAAGATGAGACAAGAATGGTGTGAAATATTACAGTTTGGAAATAGAATAATTCAATCCTGTATAGACAAATGGAAATATCAATTAATACCAGTGTTCACTTATAGCAAAGTTTCATGGTCGAAAAATCACTTCGGATAGTTACTCTTAAGGTTTAACAATTATAAAGAATTTTTATTGCAAGCTTCGATCGAGTGCAACGGCAAATAGAGTTAATTATATTTAATATGCTACTTAGCCCTATTATATGGCAAGTCTTGTCTATCCTTTCTTCCGGTAATAATAAATTTACAAGGATTGGAATAGATTGAAAATAGTTTACATTCTTTAATAAAAAAGAAAAATTAATCATTTCATCATTAATATCAGAATAAATCCTAATTATACTGGAGGTTTGTAATTAGAAAGCTGAAAAGAAACCGTAGTGTAATAAGGCTAGAAAATTCGATTTTACGAAAAGTTTATGAATTGATATATTACGGAGAATAATTTACAAAGCGAGGCTTAAGTAGGTTATGCCAACAGCATCTCGAAAGAAGCACGTTGGAATGATGATTGATTTCCTTTCGAGGCCAGAAGAAACATTGCCAAGTTGAATAGTAAAGCAGCAAAATCCCGAGTTACATCTTATAGCCGAATAATGCATTTGATGCCTACTTTAATCTTCCTTTTAACAAGACGTGCAAGCTTTCTTACATCTACCGGTGATCTACATTACATTACTCCAGCTTGTTATTGTTGCACCCTTGTAATTTTACGGTTGTTGGTATCCTCTATAGCATAAATCCATGTATTCTAACAGGTGAATAAGAGGACGAAATGGAAAAAACTCAAAGTTGATGAACTACTTAATAAATTACAGGCACTTGTCGATTTAGGCTAAATGATACTGTTGTGTTAAGTATAATTGATTCGTATAGAATTATCAGCAAAAATATTATATCTGCTGATTTTAATTTAATCTCTCATAAACATTAAGTAAGAATAGCAGGTAGTATACTCTTTCGCATTTATTTTTAATCAAATAATGATCGTTCTGCATATTACATTATCAGATATAGATTTTAATTTTAATCTGCAAATTCGTCACTTTCCAAGCTTGATATTATATACTTATACAAGCAATTTTCAGTATCTGATTGTCAGGCATGAAGCCTCTAAACAGCTTTGAATTTTCTTTTCTCTTCCAATTGAATTTCTTACTAGGGATCCATGATATCAGTAATTAGCACTAGCGCATCGTTTTGCTGCTAGTACTTAATTAGCCATTAAAAATGACTTGGTTTACATATGGTAATTGACAATAAGACTTTTGTAACAATTTCTTCACTATGTTTATTTACGCAAAGTGTTTGAAAGTGCCTTAATTGAGCTCCGCCTTAGCGTTGTCTGTAGCCCATGACAGTAGCTACCCTAAAGTCTTCTCAGAGTTGTACTAGCAGGATGAGGCAGTTAAAGCAATTATAATAATACGAAATTGTGTGTTAGAGAAAGTCATTTAAATCATGGCTAATTCGCCATATAAACAAGCTTGAATTCTTAATATCAATTGAATAAATAGTTCTCTGTCTAACTATAGTTATTCTCGAAATTGCATATGCTTAGGCTACATTGTATTTCTTTCTTTTCTTTATCTATCATATTTCTTTCCTTTAAATTTCGAACTTTTAAACCCTTCAAAGCAAGATGCATTCAAGATTTCTTACTTTGAAATCGTACTATTGAGCTCGTACGAGAAGGTATCAGTTTTCTTTTCTTTTGCGTTTTATAGTAGGTCAAACGTGATATTTAGAAGCAATATTAGTTATAATTTATCAAAATAATCTTCAAAAAATCGATCGAGCTTAGTTGTTGCTATTTTAGATAATAAAATTTATTTATTAGATTGATGGGTCGATGTGTTTTAGATTAATGCAAGCTAAAAGAAGCGAATACTACAGTAAGATTAATTATTCTCACTTATGCTTGGATTATAAGCTGGAGCAACACTTTTAAAAGTCCTTTTTGAGAGATTGATGCCATAATAGTTACAGTAACCTGCAACATTGAGTAAATATTTCCTTCTTAAATTATCCTTACTATTTATGACATCAATTACATTACTAAACCTTGTTGATAGTATTACTGCTAAAACTTAATAACTAAGCAAACGGAATTCATCATTTTCATCACCGTCATCGAATGAAAATAGTAAAAAGGCAAAGATGCATGAGAATTAAAGAAATCTAGTATACATCTTCCTGTTTAGATCAGGGCAATTCACTAGCCACTATAAAAATTATTCTAATTCATTTCTTTGACGGATATTCCCGTACAAATGATTCGATGACGAAAGCTTAACATAAAAAATTTATATTGAACCTAAAGTGTTAAATTAAATTCTATTTTATAATTTTTGAAAAATTCATATATTGAAACACTATTTGACTTTGTCATTTGAATTGAATCAATTTATGCATATGGAACAGCAAAAAGCAACTATTACTAAATTTTATTTTTGAGCGATAGCGACGATAAACCAGATACTTTTGGCTAACCGAATTAGTCTCGATAATAATTATGATTTTGGGCAGGTGCTAATATGTAGACTGAGTAATTAAATTCAATTTATTTTAGCAAATCAATAATTTAACGCAGAATTATAACGTTATACTTTTGTCTTCGTTATTTCCGACTAAATCATATGGTCATATAAAGTATCTATATGAGTAAAGATATCGCTTGTTTTCGCGTTTTAGCTATAGATCTATGGTGATTTATTTAATGCTGTATCGTAAATTAAATTGATCGACATCATCTTAATTTAAAGGAAGCTGTTCTCAGACCAATTTAATCAATATATTTGGGTTTACGATTAATTTTATAGATGAACAAGATTTCAACTCTCGATTATTTTTAATGCACAAAAATATTCCAAAGTTTGGAATTAGTACACTGATTTGTGATGTCGTATCGTGTACACAAGTATTTTTAAAGTTTAATTGCAGATCAGCTTCAATTAGTAAATTAATTAGCTTGCTTGTCAAGTGTAGTTTTATTAAGAATAATGCATGAATGTTTTTTGGTTCATTGATGTCATAAATAACAAAATAAACTAATATCAGTTGTTGATGATATTCAATTTTAAACAAGTTAACGATTTAATATTTTTTAAAGTAACAGCATGTTATTGTAATTGTATGCTCAATCATGTATGTATAATATAGAAATTATTTCAATTTTCAGATCATAACTGACTTGTTTTTAACTTATCCATTATTGCCTGATAACAAAGTGTCAATAAAATTAACTTTTCTATTAGATTAGAATGGAGTGTTATGTAAAATTAATTTAAAATAAGATTAGTTATTAATTTATTAAAATTGGAGTGCAATATACATAATAATTCATAATTAATCCAATATGGGATACTAATCTATTTTTAGACATGCTGTTTGCGCATTTTTAATTAGCCGATCACGACAGAAAAGATTCATAGAAGCACAAAAGTTGATAATAAATGGAATAAGTTATAATGGAGTCTTGACGGTATTCAACTCTAAGCTCTTTAAATGATTTAATATTTACTAGAATTGGATCGATACTATAATTGCATCGTGTTTTTGATCAGATTTTAAAATAATTTTACTTGTAATTGGATAATGGTAATAATTGCATAATTTTTGACAAATCAAGTATGAAATAGGTTACAAATTGAGAGTGATAACTTCTTATTTCAATTAAATCGATACCAACATGTAGACTATACAGAGTGATATTACTTTCATAGTACAAGAAAAGCGTACAGACGATGTTAGACTTTAAATTGAATACAATGCCTCAATTCTGTAATAGAACTGAATTGTCCTCACTACTATTTATCAAGGGAAAGAGATGTAGGATAATTTCCAATTTTAGAGTTGTAACTATTCTTTTAATAAACTGACAACAACTAAAGAGATATATCTGGGTGGATGAAGTACTATACACTCCTGCATGATAAACTTTCACTTTGAACACAGTAATTTGAGTATTGTCGATTTTATGACCTAATTTGTAAAGTGATGTATTAATAATAATTCCAATCAATATTACTGATCGTCGAATAGAAGAAAAGTTCGTAGCCATATATACCTTTCCTTTTACGATATTCGTAGCAGCTCACCAATAATTAATAAAATAGAAGGTGTATAAAGTATTGTTATGATTATTATTATTAACGGGCAGTTTACAATTAGTTCGAGAATAAATGAACAAAATTGATTAATTGATGCAATTAAAATGATAAGAATAAAGCAATAAGCGCTACCTACTTATATGCAAGGTTCTACTTTGAAAATAAAGTGTTGTTTCTATTATAAGACATGGTGAATGATTTAATATTGACGTAACGAAGGAGCTGCAATTTGAACGCATGATTAATGAAGCATTGAATCAAAAC